TTCGTTCGACGATGCCATTTTGTTGGGGTGTATATGGACATGAGTGTTGGAAAGAGGTACCGGTGTCTCGGAAAAGAGTTTGGAGTGAAAGAAATTCACTCCCATTGTCGGCACGCAAGGTTTTGACAGGGAGATTGAATTGGGTTTTGACCCAAGAGAAAAAAGATTTTATCACCCCTTGTGTGTCTGATTTAAAATTTAAGAGATGAATCCATGTAAAACGGGTAAAATCATCCACAATAGTTAGAAAATATCGTGCACCAGTATGAGTGTGAATTTTGTGTGGCCCCCAAATGTCACAATGAATTAAATCAAAAGGTGCATGAGATGACATTGAAGTAGATGGAGAAAAAGATAAGCGAGTTTGCTTTGCTAAAGGACAAATATCACAAACATGATTGTTATCACAGATAATTTCTGGAAATTTATTGGAAAGAAATTGAGTAGGGGCGTTGGATGGGTGTCCCAGACGTTGATGCCAAAGATGGGAGGTGTGGTGAACATGATGAGCTAGATGTGGGTTTTGGGTGGCTTTGAGGTAGTAGAGCCCATTAAATTGCTTGCCCAGGCCAATCGTCCTCCCCGTATTCACGTCCTGCACAACACAAAATTTATCAAAGAAAGTTACCATACACTGCAATCCTCGTGTCAATTTGCTCACAGACAATAAGTTCACATTGAATTGTGGTACATGAAGAACACCATCTAGAGTTAAGGTGTCAGACACTTTAATGGATCCAATATTTTTAATGGCTGCTTTCCCTCCATTAGGTAAACCAACAAAATCATGTTGAGTATTGACTGTGTTGTGTGTAGGTGCAAAACATGAAATATGATCTGATGCTCCACTGTCCATGATCCAATAAAAATTTGAAAGTGGGTCATGCTGTGAAAGGTTGCAGGTTGATGTAACAATACCTGTTGCATTTGCAAGATGAGAATTACCAGGTCGATTGTGTAAAAGAGCGATCAGTTGATTGTATTCTTCAGTAGTGAAAGTGGGGCTGTCATCGGATTTGACGTGGGGCCCTGGGGTTGGATCCTTTTCAGCAGTGTAAGCAGCCCGTTTGTTTTTGGGCTTGACATTCTTCCCATGGAGTTTGTGGCCCACAAGAAATCCATTAAGGAAAAAACAAGTGTCAATGGTGTGGGTGTCTCCATCACAATAAGAACATTTCAGAGACTTCCTGAAGTTGGAGCTGTGTTTTCCGTCCCCAGCACCAGAGGGTTTCGCCGCTGCTGCCGAGTTGCCTAGGTTGGTGCCGCCCTTGGTGTTCACAGAACGTACGGTTTGCATGGCATGGGATCCGGGCTGTCGATTTGTCACGTCCAGCTGCCTTTCGTGTTGGAGGATCAGGCCATGGACACGACGTGTGTCTGGGATCGGTGACATCATCAGAATTGACCCACGCACAGTTGAATAAGGTTCGTTCAGACCCATTAAAAATTGCATGACTTTCTCCTTCTCTTCTCTGGAAGCACGTGTTGTGGAACCTTCGCAAGTGCAGATGATGGGTTCATGGTATGAATCCAATTCATCCCATAAGGCCTTGAGCTTAGTGTAATACTCTGAAACCGAAAGATGGCCTTGTCGATGTTCGGCAATTTCTTGACGGATTTGGTAAATCCGGGAGTCGTTGCCTTGTGAGAACCGATCTTTAAGATCATTCCACACCATGGATGCGCTGGTGCAGTAAAGTACACTGCTTGCGATGTCGGGTTGTAGTGAGTGCAAAATCCAGGATAACACCATATCGTTGCATCTCTGCCAAATGGAGAATTTGGCATCAGTTTTTGCTGGGGCTTTGATAGTCCCGTCAATGAAACCTAGTTTGTTTTTGGCGCTCAAGGCAATTCGCATCGAGCGACTCCATTGACCATAGTCATGGCCTTCGAGAGGTTTCGAAACTAGAACCAGACCGGGTGAGTCGAAATGGTGTAGGATAAGTGGATCAGACATGTTGATTTCAGATCCGGATGATTTTTCATCACCCATGTTGATGGGCTGTGTAGGTTGGTTGTTTGTGTGTTTGGTTTTGGTAGCGGAAGACGTGCTGGACAGAGTCACCTATGTTGGTGCTCTGATACCATGAAAGAATGTAGAAAGCTGTATATATTGTATTGATACCTTGAGATCGTAATGTACAAGATTTATACAGAATGAAAGTTCTATTCTAAGTAAGCATGGAATCTATTCTAAGTATGTAAATCACAATAGGTGTAATGACCGTAAACTTAGCTAATTACTAAGATTGAGGCAATCACAATAGTTGACCAATTTCTTCCCTTTAACAATGAGTAATCACCGATTAGCTAGAGCATAACTGCTCATCCATCGATGTTTCATTGGCTTTGATCAGGCCGATGGATTCTTCTTAAGTGATTAAAAAAAGAAGATTCTTCCTAATCAATATGTACGTCAATTAATTACCCCTCCAAGTATACTAGCTACCTATTGAAATAAAAATTACATTACCAGACTATAAGCAACCCTAAGATCTTTGACAGGTTAAGCCAACACTGAAGTTAAGAAGACAACTATGTAAACACAAGAATTTCCATTAATATAGAAATGATAGGAAGCCACTTCTCGACTTATACTTCCAAAGATGGGAAGTCAGTCAAAGCCATACATCCACCCGAGATGGTGATTAAACAAAAGGATGTAATTGCAGCTCCCTACAAAGAAACCACTTTCCTTGAAGACAGTACCAATAATTTTCGTACAGCTAGTAAAGAAGATGTAGATGTGGTCATTCATCAGAATAACTACACCAACCTGTTTCTACAGTCTTTAGGAAAGCAAGTTACTAGGATTGAAACATCTGTTTCAATGGGGGAACAGAAATCCGAACTAGGACCCTCAGAAACCAAAAGAAATAGAGAAGTGAGTCAAGCATTCTTTAAACCACCTCCTGCCTTAGATAATAAAAATTTTAAGATGGGAATGACCTTATCTGAAGACGAAAACTTTGTTGACGTCTTGGCCAAAAAGTTAACAAGGTTAAATTTGTCAGATAAAGGAAAGGGTCCACAAGTGTCGGTTCTCACTGAAGGGGAAATAGATAACCTGGAAACAATGTTTAAAGAAGAGCAACTTGAAATTAATAGGTTAATGACTGAAAAGAGATTTACTCAAACTGATAATACTAAAAACTACTACCCTAGACCCACACCAGTAGATTTATAGTTTGAGGAAGATGGAATGTGGAATTTCACTCAATATGACGGAAGTTCCATAGTTGAGTGGAATATTGATGGTCTAACAGAATACCAGATCATTAATACAATTGTTTACACCATAATCAACCAAGCATGTCCAGACTCAAAATGACTAGCACAAAGGCATACACGTTTTCTCCCTTGCTGAAGGAAGACACTCTTCTAAGGTACCAGACACCTGCCGAAGCTCTCAACTGCCGAACCTAATCTCTAACACACGTGTCATCACCACAGCGACTTGCACAAAGTCCCACATCGAAACTTCGTGCAAACCTCTCACTTTCACTTCCCTATAAACAGGGAACAGTACCCAAGTAAAAAGGGTAACTTCTCTATCACTCTTACTATTACTTTGCCAATTTTACCACTTATAGCTGACTTAAGCATCAGAGAGCCTTCGATCGGCACCATACCAGTGTCCGTAGCTTGACGATTGTTTCTCTTACTTTGTCCCCTTACCGAAGGTCTTCACCTTCTCCCCTGCTGAAGACTATCCATTTCTCTCTAAGTTGACCTCCCAAAAAGAGCGTCAACAGTTTGGTGTCGTCTGTGGGAATCGACTTCTGAATCCTAATTTTCTCTACCAGCCCAGCTGGCTCCTTCTCCCATCAAGCCTCGTCGCCTCTTCTACACCCAACACTCTACTATGCTGACCGAGGATAGCCACGATACTCAGCACCATACCGCCCACGAGGGTACCTCCTGAAGGAAACCTTCATCAAATTCCAATCTCCAGGCAGAGGTCGAGCTCCTCTGCGCCAGCGTCGCCAAGATGTTCGAGAAATACGAACATCTCCATACCAAAAATATCGAGCTAGAACATGACTACCGCATGCTGAAGCATAACTGGGAGAGGACTCAGGCCCAAGGCTCCCAACGTGACTTTACCCAGGATGCTGAGCATACCCAGCCAAACTAGCCAGTGCACTCCCTCCATAGTGCCCCAGTCCAGTCTAGGCTTAGCAAGTGTAAAGGCCCCCTCCATCTAGAGACAACCAAGTCGTGGCTCCTTCACATCTCCCCACCGAAGGACTGGCCCCATGAACTGATGAAGGTCTACAGAGATTGCAGAGACCGTCCTTGGACCGTCAGCAAGACCCTATTCCCATCCCATTAATCTCTAAGACCCAAGGGTGACACACCTAGGCCCTTCACCGAAGCCTACCCACCTAACCGCTGAAGAAGGCGCAGGAGACTCGGACGACTGGGAAAATTATCATTCAGAAGATTGGGAAAATTATCACACCGAGGCATTAGAAGATTGAGAACCTTACCTAGCCCTTGCCAATCCACACCCTAGGCCTTCAGCACTCGAGACCCTCCCTCATGTCGACTCGGCTATGAGGGTTCTCTTTGAGAAGGTCCAACGCCTAGAGAGTGAGCAGCAACGCAACCACCAGCCCCTCTGGGTGAAGCCACGACCTGGGTACTTTACCGAACGTATCCTCAATTACTAGGCCTGGGCACAGTTCGGGTCGGATCAAATTTTGGATGACTCGTGGGCCGAACAAATCAAACTAGCGGTTCTCGAGTCGGATCGGGTTCAAGTTTAAAGCCGAAGTTGGGCCAACCCGATTGAGTCCGGTTCGGTTCTGGCTCTTTTTCGGTTTTGGGCTTTGGCCCAAATAATTTTTTCTCCTTAAAAATAAGCTATTAAAACAGGTCCAATTCAATTTTTTTTCCTAAACATCAGCTAAAGCCCAAATCTATTAAAACTTGCTCAAGTCAAATCCCTTCTTTTTTCTTTTTCTATTTTTTCTAGAATATGAAATCATGCATATTCAAGTATAATTCATACGTCATTCTAAATTATAATCATCCATCATTCTAAATTATAAGCTAAGTGTTTAAACAACTAGATCCATCACAAATTAATACAATCATCAGCCAACGAAACAAATATAACATCTTACAATTCATAATAAAAATGCATATAAAGATACAAAATACAAAACAGCAGTTGCATCCATCCAAAAGGCTTAAGAAAGAACCCTGCATAACAACACTTGAAGATTTAACAAAAAGCCTTAATACAAAGGAGGGAGGAGGAGTATTATTCAAAATCCAACACCTGCAAAAATAAAAGAACCAACATATCCTCATCATACTAAGGAGGGAGGAGTATTATTCAAGCTTGTGGTGGACGTTTTGCTCCCTAATTCTACAAAAATAAAAGAAAAGATATATCACATTATCTCAATAAACATAATAAACAGATACAAACAACTGCAAAATACATTATAAAAAAAATCCAAACAAAACCCTTCCAAGAAGCTAAATCATACCTCCCATTGAAGCTAAAATGATCATAACAGATTCACTTGTATCGGTTAAGGGAGCTGCAAAAAAATGTAGATTCAAGACACTAAAAACAGATTACACACACACTTAACCAAAACAAAACAAATAGCATTTAACCAAAACAAAAAAATCAAAACCCGACACCTGCTCAACTTTTGAGGCCACCTTGTATAATCTACTCATGAAACTCATAGCTAGAGAATAAATGCCAGTTCAAATTCCCCCCCTTGCGAATAGCTACCATAAAATAACTGATCCCAGCCCATTACATAAAAGGGTCACATAGTATGGCAAACAAATAATAGAATAAAGTGGAGAACATCTTGAAGGATGAACTGCCGACGCCTATCTGAAAGCAAGACGAAGCACATTAGTAGAGAATGCCAAAATAAATAATAATATTGCTTCGTTTAGTTTTCATTTTTTTGGGGATATCGGAAAACTTTATAACAGCACACAAGACCTCTCAGACATCCTTAAATCAGTCAAAGGCTAGAACCCAAAACTGGAAAGAAGATGCAACAGATTCATGAAAAGACGAGTATCATCTAAACACACGAAAGACAACAACATACAAAACTTAAGACATATGATGACTAATGTATGAGAAAACCAAAATTGACACACAAGCGGCGACAGGTTCATGCACGCACAAGCAACACTTTACAGACCTGTGAGTCACGAAAACAACAGGGCGACTCCCAATACCTGCAGAAACAAGCTTCTCTAAGATCCGCCCCTTTGCTGAAAAAAGGGTCCAGCCACAAGTACCCTCCTCCCCTCAACTCTCTATCCGCATCAATTTTGGAGAGCGAAACAACAAGAGGCAGAGCCCATCTCCTTAAAGTTCCTATCAATTAAAACGAACTCATCACTCAAACTAAAGCAAGATGAAGCAAGCAAAACACAGAAATTGAGACAGAGAAATGTTTATACCTTCAATTTTGCCTATTAATCCAAACCCACAGAGACTAAGCACAACAACTGCAAAATTAAGAAAAAACTGCGTTAATTTCAACAGAATACCAAAATTTCGAAACCCTAATAATCTACTAAATTGGGGGAAAAATGAAAACAACTAAGAATTCAAACCAAATACATACAAATTTACCTTAGAATGAACCAGAGCCCTCCATAATTTGCAAGGATTCGCTCCAAAAACCAATGAAATTGGATGATGTTTGGTTAGGTTTGAAGAGAGAGAATGAGTCTCTCGACTCTAAGAGACTTAAAGAGGTGACTGAGAGAGCGAGCATGACAGAGACGAGTCGAGAGAGAGACAAAGAAAGAGACGGAGAGCGCTCGCGAGAGAGACGGTGGCCGATGAGGTTAAGGTTAGTCCCAAATCTAGGGTTGATTTTTTTCGTGTGTGAGTGAGAGAGAGATACGGAGTGAGAGAGTCTGAGAGGGTTACTGAAAAAATAAAAAATAAAAAATTGAGAGAGGTTCGGATATAGTGCAAACAGACCCACCCAAAGTTCTTATTTAAGCCAATCAGACAACGCCATGTGCCAAATGCATATATAATTAAATAATGGTCAGTTCGGGTCAAGTCCAACGGTTCAAAATTTTTTGGACCTAAAGCCTAAACTGAAGTCAACGGTTCGGTTCAGGTCCAGCGTTGACTTTTTCGGTTTGGTCAAAAAAACCTTATTTTTCGGTTTGGTTTGGTTTGGTTTGGTCGATTTGTTCGGTTTATCGGTTTTTATACCCACCCCTATCAATTACCACAAGGAGAAGGACATTAAGCCACTCCATATCGCCTTTTACACTGGTACGGAGGATCCTCTCACCCATATCCACTCCTTCCAGTCTGCTCTTAGATGGTCTTAATGATGAAGGCATGTGCCTCATCTTCCCTTCCACCCTCAGTGGCGCGGCCCTGAATTGGTTCTACAGGCTGAACCCTCGCACCATCAACACATTTGACAGTCTGAAGCAGACCTTCCTAGACCATTTCATGATCCAGACTGATTGTCTGTACCCCGCAAACGACTTGTACATACTTCGGCAGGGTGAGGATGAACCCCTTTGGGAGTATGCAGCTCGCTTCAGCCACGAGTACTCTCGTTGCCCAGAGACTGACGATCGCGCTTCCTTCGGTGCTTTCAAGAGTGGCATCCGCAAGTCCAACTTCTGGTACCTAGTCCATAGCAACTCTTGGAACACATATCCAGAGCTAATGAAGCAAGCAGCAATTCATGCCAATGCCGAGTATTTCAACTCCAAGCGTGGCCTAGCCACCTCTGCAAGCAACACCTTTGGTGATCCTCCACTTTTGGTACCAACCCCAGCCCCACCCCAGCGTTCTACTCCTACCCCAGATAACTAACAAGCAACACTTTACAGACCTGTGAGTCACGAAAACAACAGGGCGACTCCCAATACCTGCAGAAACAAGCTTCTCTAAGATCCGCCCCTTTGCTGAAAAAAGGGTCCAGCCACAAGTACCCTCCTCCCCTCAACTCTCTATCCGCATCAATTTTGGAGAGCGAAACAACAAGAGGCAGAGCCCATCTCCTTAAAGTTCCTATCAATTAAAACGAACTCATCACTCAAACTAAAGCAAGATGAAGCAAGCAAAACACAGAAATTGAGACAGAGAAATGTTTATACCTTCAATTTTGCCTATTAATCCAAACCCCCAAAAGACTAAGCACAACAACTGCAAAATTAAGAAAAAACTGCGTTAATTTCAACAGAATACCAAAATTTCGAAACCCTAATAATCTACTAAATTGGGGGAAAAATGAAAACAACTAAGAATTCAAACCAAATACATACAAATTTACCTTAGAATGAACCAGAGCCCTCCATAATTTGCAAGGATTCGCTCCAAAAACCAATGAAATTGGATGATGTTTGGTTAGGTTTGAAGAGAGAGAATGAGTCTCTCGACTCTAAGAGACTTAAAGAGGTGACTGAGAGAGCGAGCATGACAGAGACGAGTCGAGAGAGAGACAAAGAAAGAGACGGAGAGCGCTCGCGAGAGAGACGGTGGCCGATGAGGTTAAGGTTAGTCCCAAATCTAGGGTTGATTTTTTTCGTGTGTGAGTGAGAGAGAGATACGGAGTGAGAGAGTCTGAGAGGGTTACTGAAAAAATAAAAAATAAAAAATTGAGAGAGGTTCGGATATAGTGCAAACAGACCCACCCAAAGTTCTTATTTAAGCCAATCAGACAACGCCATGTGCCAAATGCATATATAATTAAATAATGGTCAGTTCGGGTCAAGTCCAACGGTTCAAAATTTTTTGGACCTAAAGCCTAAACTGAAGTCAACGGTTCGGTTCAGGTCCAGCGTTGACTTTTTCGGTTTGGTCAAAAAAACCTTATTTTTCGGTTTGGTTTGGTTTGGTTTGGTCGATTTGTTCGGTTTATCGGTTTTTATACCCACCCCTATCAATTACCACAAGGAGAAGGACATTAAGCCACTCCATATCGCCTTTTACACTGGTACGGAGGATCCTCTCACCCATATCCACTCCTTCCAGTCTGCTCTTAGATGGTCTTAATGATGAAGGCATGTGCCTCATCTTCCCTTCCACCCTCAGTGGCGCGGCCCTGAATTGGTTCTACAGGCTGAACCCTCGCACCATCAACACATTTGACAGTCTGAAGCAGACCTTCCTAGACCATTTCATGATCCAGACTGATTGTCTGTACCCCGCAAACGACTTGTACATACTTCGGCAGGGTGAGGATGAACCCCTTTGGGAGTATGCAGCTCGCTTCAGCCACGAGTACTCTCGTTGCCCAGAGACTGACGATCGCGCTTCCTTCGGTGCTTTCAAGAGTGGCATCCGCAAGTCCAACTTCTGGTACCTAGTCCATAGCAACTCTTGGAACACATATCCAGAGCTAATGAAGCAAGCAGCAATTCATGCCAATGCCGAGTATTTCAACTCCAAGCGTGGCCTAGCCACCTCTGCAAGCAACACCTTTGGTGATCCTCCACTTTTGGTACCAACCCCAGCCCCACCCCAGCGTTCTACTCCTACCCCAGATAACTAAGGTACCCCGCACCCAAAAAGGAAGGATAGCTACCAGCATACCTTCAGCAGTAGTAAGCGTGGTAGACATGGCAACCACTACCAGCAGAGTGGAAGCAACCCTCCCAAGACAAGTGATCAGGCCCCACTCCCCTTCACAACCAAGCCTACGTTTGAGGTCTTCACTACCTTGAACGCTACCTATGAGAATGTCCTAGTGCACGAGGCACCCATGATCCTCAAGCCACCTCCTAGGAGACCGCCCAACAAGCATATGCCAAACACAGGTGTCTTCTGCCATTTTCATTAGTTCAGTGGCCACGATACTGAGTTTTGTGTTGCCTTGCACAACATCATTGAATGACTTATTCGTGAAGGGAAGCTGAATAAATATGTGTACAACCTCCCACCCCCACCGAACCCTCACCAAAGGCAGATCTGTAGGGGGACTTTTTCTTCCTGCAGCTAATGGGCTGGGTTGCTGCAAAAGGCAGACTGAGGAGATTGCCCCCTTTTGTTTAGGTTCAAAAATTAAGCCCCAAAATACCTCAAAAGGGCAGCAAAACCTTAGGAGATATTTTGGATAATCTTCACCAACGAGAATAATGGTGACTTGCAGATAGTTTTGGCATGCTTACAGATGGTCTTTTTAGCTCAGCATGAGTGGCATGTGGCATGGGAGCAAAACCA